TTGCGGGCTGGCCGGGCCACGCTGTCACCCCCAGCCGTGGGCTGCACGCTCTCGGTGGGCTGCGGGCCCGGACTGTCTGAGTGCTCACATGTGGGGCCGTCCTGCTTGGCTGGCAGCGGGGCCTCTCCGCCTGGAGCCCACGGCAGAGGGGCCGACTCCGGTTGCTCCTGGGCTGGCTCGGCCCCTCCGGGTGTTTCTCTGGCTGGTGGGGTGGCGGTGGGCTTTGGGGCGGCCTCGCTCTCGCTGTTCTCTGCGGCCAGCCGTCGGGCCTGCCGGGGGTCCCGGCTCTGCCGCGCCTCGGTGCTCGGGCCGGGCCCCTGGCTGGTGGAGGGGGGTGCAGCTGGCCGGCCCGCAGTCTGCTGCTCCTGCTCAAATAGCTGGGCCCTGGGCAGCGAGGCCTTCGGGGGCGGCGACATGAGGGCGTCCGACACGGAGAAGTGGGCCATGGAGGCCCCGACGGCGGCCCTCTGCTGCCGGAGAGCGGCTTCCTGCTCCTCCACTTGCCTTTTCTGCTCCTCGATCTGCTTGTTGAGCTCCTCTATCATCTTCTGCTGCTCAACCAGGGAGGGCGCCGAGGTGCTCGCAGTGAAGCCCGCGGGCCTCTCCGCGCACCCGCCGTGTGCGTCCACACACATTCTGTTGGGCAGGTCGTCGATGGTCACTTTGGCTTCCTCTAAAATGGTCTCATCCTCTGGGTCGTAGGCCACCTCCTCCCGCTCCGCCGACTCCGAGGCCTTCTCCGCGCCCAGCTGAGTGTCGAAGGCCCTCTCGGGACCATACTCCTCCTCGGGGTCGTACGGTCTGTCATCCTCCTCTTCCTCCAGAGCTTTGTCTTTAGAGAACTGACCAAACTGCTGTACGATCGGATCTAGCAGAGGTGCTGCCGGCAGCCCGTCGGCCTTGGCCCTGGAGTCTTGGTGGGAGGCCGGGGCGGACTCGGCGGGCTCCTTGGTGGGCGGGTCAAACGACTTCTTCTTCCCAAAGAGAGTCTGCAGGATGTGTTCCAAAGGCGACGCCGTTTTTGAAGCAGAGGAAGCCACAGAGGCGGCGGCTGAGGTGACCGCCGCCGACACAGGTGGTGCTGTCAAGGAGCTGGTAGCTCCTGGTTTGAGGGATGACAGTACTTTTAACACCGAAGATGAAGCTGGCGCCCCTGATGCTTCTGGAAGAGGGGGCGGGGGTGGGGGAGAACCCGGGGGTGTGGTGCTGCCAGCTGTGTCCCCAGAGCAGAGCTGGTACTTGGGGGGTTTCTTCTCAGGCAGCAGGGCCGTGGGCACCTTGGGGCAGACGGCAACGTCCGTTTCCTCTGGTGTCTGGAGCCTCTTGTCTGCTTCGCCAGCACTTGTGGGGCGTTTGATCTTCTGACAGATCACTAACCCAAGGATGATGTTCGGACGTGGTGTCTCAAGACCTGGAAAACAAAATGTTTGTGCAAATTTTAGTCTCAAGATTCAGCCTTTGTTCTTCAGAGGCCAACTTAATTAAGGGCAGCCTGGGGAATGTTTTCCTGGGGAGGAGGAAATTCTGTGGCAAAATAAGATCAAGTGTTTGAAGAGCTTATTGCAAAAGACTCAGACTGCACCACGCGCCTGCCCAGCCTGATGGGGTCGCAGACCAGGAAACCCAGGGCCCAGTGCGGGCGTCACCTCGCCCTGGCGGTTACAGTGGTTACAGAGTTTAAGTCACACACGACGCTGACACAGACGTGCGGCGGCGGAGGTAGGGACGGCCACTAGGCAAGTGCTCCAGAGGGAGGTCTGGACTTACAAGATCCAAGTGCGTTCTTTCATTTGCCTCTTGCTACAAACCAGGAAGGTAATACCCTCTTCTGATTGTACCTTATGAGTTGCGATACATAAGTTTAGCTATTTATACTCATATAAGTCGTTTGGGACGAATCCCACAACTCAACTGTAATAATCAGTAAAATTACAATGATCAATAGAGCACACACACCACCAGGTACGTTCCTTAGTCACTGCTGTCAAAATTACAATTAATGGGAAAAATGAGGCTAAAATAAGTGTTCTTTTCGGTTTAGAAAGAAATTCAGTGATCATTTCCTTATCAAGAGCTATGTAATGCTCAGGTCTTTGCAAACAGAAGACATGGTCCTTAAAGAAAGCGCTAAGATGTTCAGAAGAGTGGCAGCAGAGAGCAGGCCACGTGGAGAACACGCTGGGAATTTCAGAGCATCGCACAGGCCTTAAAAATAATTCCTTATAAAAGCCTTAGTCAAAATATTCTGAATTATGGTATATCATACCAGGAATGCCACTACCCCACCCCGACACTCAACACAAATCCAGAATACCAAAAGGGAAACAGGAAAACCCGTCACAAAACTGTAATTTAGGGAGAAATGATAAACACAGGACAGAAATTTTGTTTCAATAGCAGAAGATATTTAAAATTAATCAAATTGCATAAACTCAATTTACAGGTTATTTAACACTACTGTGCATAAAGACAGCCACGTGTTCTCACTAAGAGAGAAAAGCAGCGCTGTTTTCCGTATTCTTTCTCTGATTTTAAGCTGATCACAAATCACTTCGAATAGCTGTTTCTGGACACTGTTACGTAGTTCTGAAACGCGCCACCCTTCCTAAATTCCAGCAGAGAGGGGATGCCAAGCTGTGTGTGAGCGTGGTGGGTGTCCCATCCCACCGGAGGCCCAGGCACGGCAGGGTGGGCTGGCCTGGCCCAGCGCCTGCACAGATCGACAGTGTCCCGCTACCCTCCCAACAGTGTCCGAAGGGCCCCCGTCTCACGGAAGGCGTCACAGCCCTGACGTTCGAGGGGCGAGATGACCACTGAGGCCGTCCTCTCCCTGCCCTCATGGTGCAGGTGCCCCAGGGAAGGAAGTGCTGGGCAGAGGAGGGAACAGAGACCGGAGGCCGGGCAGACTGGACTGAGCAGCACATCCAAATGTTTCTGCTCAGCAGGCGTGAAAGGTAGCCTATCAAGTTCACTTTCTAATCAACACAAATTAGGATTGTTCTAACTTAAAATAGTATGCCTCTCTACAGCAGCTACCTGCTGAGCAGCTTACAGCTTATTCTGACCTATGTGGGTGCAGTCAATTGTTAAATTGGCTCTTGTGACCCTTCTGGACCAAGTGTCCCAGAGCTCGCAGAACAGGTTTGCGAGCCGAGACACAAGGCTCTCCCTGAGGAAGTGGGCGTCCAGGAAGAGTGAAGGAATGTGCGGTCAGGGAGGGGGTGGGGGTGGGGAGGGCTGGGAGCCTTGGTGAAGGGGCCCTCGAGCAGCCCAGTGCCCACTTGTCCTCGACGCAGACGGGCCAGGCCATCTCCTAAGAGCTAACCTTCTAAAGTGCCACCACTAGGGCTGGTGGCATGGCCCGAGCTTCACCGAATCACGGTCCAGCACACTGTATGTGACGGGTAAGTCGCTGGGTTAAATCCGGGGACACGTGGTCTCTGGTCCTCGTGAGGTGTGCCCCTCCAGCCACAACCCCCAACAGCTCAGCATGCTTCCTGACAGCAACAACACAGCCCAGGCTCGGCAGGCTTCCTCGACTCTGCCCTCTGTCCTGCTCATTGCAGGTAAGGCTCCAAGTTGCTTAATATGCACGTCTGTCCTGGGAACAGCACTCCCGGGTGACGGCCACCTAATCACGCAGCTAGTTTTCTTAAACGCCCTCAGCTCTCCGCTGCCTTACCTGCACACTAGTCTCGAACTTCCAACTCCTCTTCCCCAAGACTGTCCATGTAAATCGGGCTGTTTCAAAATGCACGCCCATTTTGAAGCAGTTAAATCTCATCGGTTCACAATTCATGCTACGGCTGCATGAGTATCTGAAACTAACCAGCACCCTGGAAATAACCTGCACTCGTGGAAGAAACATTGCCACTCACTGAGCTACCCCGGTGGGGCCCTAGGCTCCACAAGGCCACAGGCAGATGTCTGGCAAGGCCACCCTGGGGCGGTGGCAGGGGGCCAGCCTGGGGCCTCTGCGGGCTCCCACTGTCGAGCAGGGCCCCAGAGAGGGACGCAGAAGCCGTGAGCACGCTAGCTGCGTGTGGAGACGCAGGGCTCCGGCCAAGGGCGTGGGGACGGCTCCGGACTTGCTAAGTCCCCCCTTCTCCAGCTGCTAGAAGCGGGGCGCTCACTTACCCACCTCCCTGTGGGGGTTGCGGTGAGGCTTACAATTCACAAAGTCGACGAAAACTATGTGGGCTGGGTGTTGAAATGCCAGCGGCAGCTCAACGTGCCAGCCTCCATTTCCAGACAAGGGGTGTCGACAAGACAGCACAAGGTAGCTGGGGCCCCTGCCGGCCCCACCATGTGTGAGCGCAGACGTGTCCAATGTCCCGTATGGGTGAAATGAGCCTTTTCAGCTGCATGCAGGCCCCAGTGGTTACCACCAGACCCTACAGAGGAAGAAAGGGATGAACCCCAGGACCAGGGCATCTGGGAAAGTGTGCTGATTTCCGGGGCCAAGACTGCAACCAAGATCTGTGTCCAGGCGTCAGCACAGGGCTGGAGAAATGGCCGAGCAGCAGCGCCCAGGGGCTCCCCGTGCACCTCCAAAGTGACGCAGTGCGGGGGAAGATTTAGTTTTCATTAATTTAAATAAACCAGCTGAAACCCAAAACTATCCAAATGATGCTTCTACCCCTAAATCTACCTGCACGCTCCACTATTTGTTATTTAAAATGAGAACCTTCTTATGGTCTGAATCCGACAAACTTCCGCACCTGCGGGAACAGAACTGTGTTGGAGTTAGCAGCGACAGCCCTCAAGTATGATCTGGGGAGAGAGACTTGGGGGAGACAGGGAAGCACCTCCCACCCCCGCACGCACACCCGCACACGCAGACCTTGCCCCTCCTGCCCCGAGACCTGCATACGGCACGGGGTCCACGCCTCTCAGGGGAAGGACAGCGGCGTCCACCTCCATCCAGGAGCCAGGGCAGTGCCCACTGGCCTTCACAGCCAGAAGCACGAGGCGTCGGCTTATGAAAAGCAAAGTGGGAGACGGTCCTCCATCACAGTGGACCTGGGACAGGGACCAAAACCTACCAAATGGTTCAGATTCAAACAAACAATGACCAGTTTCCATGAAATAATTTTATTGATTTCAAAGGAGAAAGACAAGCACATTCGATACCATTTTGACTTTGAAGACAACACCTACACACAGGTCCACACGCACACGGGGACCGAAGACATGCTTACCTGACATTTCAAGTCACAGCAATTTCCAGCTAATCTGGAAAGCAGGTAACAGTGAGTGCAGAAAGAATACGCCACGGATTTAAGCTCTTCTAAGATGGCCCCTGCACAGCAGCGCCTCAGAAGGCAGTGACCCTGCCCCCTGCGCAGCGCGGCCTACGCCTTGGACTTTGAGGGCATTCAGCAGGCTTCCCAGTCGGAGAAGCAGAGCCCCGCCGATTCACTAGGGAAGGGTGGGGTGCTCAGGGCCAGCGTCCAGCCTGATGGGTCTTCCTTCCACGAGTAAGGCCCTAGGACATCGGACCAGCTGAGACCCCAAGTCCCCAGGAGTGCAGCTGTCAGCCCCCACGGCCCTGCGCTGAGCTCATGTCCAAAGTGGAAAAGATGGTCAGCTGGGTCAGGGGACCCAGGCTTTCTCCTGGCCTCTGAAATAACACTGCCAGGCCTGTGACAGGACAGTGCCCTAGCCTCTCTGGGGACAAGTCATAAAGACACACAAGGACAGAAGGTCCCCCGAGCCTGAGCGGCTCTGGATGCGCGCTGAGCGCAGAAGGGGACTGGGCTGGGGCTGGGGCTCCGCCTGGACACGGCTCCCTGCGCTGACCCATGACAGCGCTGTGGAGACACTGACCGAGGGCAGCCCACGGGGGCTCCCTGGCTCAGGGCACGGTTTAAACACCTGTGTCTTCACCTGCTTCTCAAGTGTGACTCATTCTGTCCAATGTTCAGGAGGTGAGGGACACCTGTGAGATCTCACAGGTATAAAACGGCTTCCAGGCCTGGGGTGTGCTGGTCTCTCGCCTCTACGATCCGCTCTCTACTCCAGCGTGAGCATCTTCTCCTCCACACACTCCCACAGTGGCCGACCCGTCAGCCCCTCCAGTGGACTGGCAGCCCCTTGAAGCCAGAGCTCCATGCCCACTCAGGCCTGAGCCTTGTGCGCTGCACAGAGAACTGAGGGGAACAGAGGGTGTGGACCCTGGCAACACTTACTGGGCACGTGACCTCGGGCGAGAGGCTGCCTTGGGCAGGGCAGGCTGCTCCCTCCTGCAGGGCTGCCGTGGGGGCAGGGCACTCCTGCCGGGCTGTGGGGCCAGTGCTTGCCGGGCAGCACGTGCTCAAACCCGCTGGCCACCTGGCCGAGGGATCCACCACCCTCAGGCTGGGCCAGTGCCTTCAAGGGTGCTGTGTGGAGATGGGAGAGACACTCCCTGGCTCACCTTCCCCACACACGCACACCACGAATCCAGGACACACGCCCAGCCTTGCACACGCTCATGCACGCACACGACACACCCCCCACCCGGCCCAGACACCCCAACGCTTGTACCCAGGGGGCACCAAGTCATGCTGTGAGTATGTGAAGTGGTTCAGGTAGGTACCCTGGGTGGGGTCAAGGCTGGCGTACAAGTGTGCAGAGAATACAGGTGTCAGCGTCAAACCCTGACAGCAAGAGGAGCAGACACACACCCACCAGGTCACGCAAGCGCAGACCTGGAAACCCCTAAATTGGAAAACGTCTTTTAAAAGCTTATGGGGAAATTTCTGTATAATTGTGTATCTAAAACCCTTCTTCCTACTTTATTTTAATGAAACCCATCTGTTCCTGATGGTGGATGAAAATCCGCAGGCTTTTGGAAGCGTCAGGCTCAGGAATGTGGGGGACAAGAGTGATGTCCACTCCACTGGTCACTGAGTGTGTCCAGGTGGTCAGCGCCCATCACGCCTGGCGGATGAGGCGAGTGTCCCTGCCCAGCCCTCTGTGTCACCCAGGGAGTGCCCCATGCAGCCCCTCCCCCACCAGCCGGGCCATCGCCCAGCAGTGCACCCACAACACGCCAGCTCCTGCTGCAGCTCCAGTGGGGGGATCTCCCTGGGTGGCCCCCGGTCCCTCCTGTCCCCGCCTCATCAGGCCTGACCTTGTCCGCCCCTCTCCCCGCAGGGCCTGGCGGGCCCCTGCTCACCTGGCAGGCTGCACCAGGACGGAGTCTGCAGGTGCAGTGATGAGGGCACAGATAAGCTCAAGGTGCTCTCATCACCTCCCAGTTCCAGTCTCTGGACGTCACAGTGTGTGCGTCCCAGGGGACCTACGCTCACCCTGGGTCCCCACACCGGCCGCTGCCCTCGTGACTGACCAGACGCTCTTCGCGGTGTCAGGAGGCGGCTCCGTCCTCACCGCTGGTGCCATCAGGAGCAGGTGTCCAGGCGGCTGCCCGCCCAGAGCCTCTGCTGAGGCCCCTCTGCCACCCATTGGGTGGCACCTCCTGGCTGGGGTGTGGGGCACAGCAGTGCGCTTGGCTCCCAGGGCACTGGCATTAAAGTAACTGTGTGTGTCGCATGGTGAACACTGGACGTCGTGGGCATGAAGAGCGCAGCCCCACACGTGTTAAGAATGTGCCATGGTCGGGACCCGGGGAGGCACCTAGCTGGTCCAGGTGCCGTGTGACTGAGCGCGTGCCGAGGACACGGAGCCGCCGGCAGCGTGAGCAATGCTCTGGGTGGCAGCCCCTCTGCTAGAAGAACAGAACGCCTCCGAGAGCATTGCCCGCGAGTCAGGCGTGCCTTCAGGGGTCGTCAGTCCTTGGGGCCGTGGAGACGCTTCCGCCTGGGCAGCTTTCCATGCAACTTAAGTCGCATCAGCCTCTCCTGAGGGGCTGAGAGGAACTGGGCCCCCGGAGACCGCGTTCCCCCGGAGTCTCCCCCAGCCCCGGACAAGCCTGCGTGTGCTTTCAGGCTGACCCCTGAGTAAACCTTCGGAGTCAGTGCTTTCTAAGGAATGCGCAACTAGAAAGAGGCCTGCCAGAGAGAAGCTCTCGAGGGCAGGTGCAAGCGTGACTGTTGCTAGAACTCCTTTCTATTTCACTGCTGTTTCTTGCATCTCCTTGAAATGAACCCCCATGAACAGGAGGAGGGAAGGCGGGGACCCGCCAGGCCTCACCTGTCCCTGCTCTGCTGTGTGTGAACTGAGGCTCCGACAGGCAGCTGGCCTGGATGCTGCAAGTCCTTCTGCTGCAGGGCACTTCTCTAAGACAGTCTATGCTGATAATACGGGTGCTCTGGTGCCAGCCTCAAACACCCCTGAAGCTGAGTTCTGTGGCTAATGCTGCTGCCCCCGAACCCCAGTCCTGCCCCGAGTGCCGCGGCTGGGCCAGGCAGCAGGTCTGCCCAGTGGCACGGTCTGAGGACCCGGTGTCACGGGTGGGGGGGGACGTGAGGGACCAGAAAGTCAGTGCTTACCTGGCCCCTCAAAAGGCAAGAGCTTGGACGGGATGGGGTCCCTGGCGCTCAGCGGGATCAGGTAGAGGTCCTTGACGTGCCTGCTGTTGTTGGCGACCACACCGAAGCGGCCGCGGCTGCTGAAATAGGAGTACAGAGAGATGTAGGCCACCTCCTCCTCCTCCGTCGCGGGGTGAAAGCGGATCAGACACAGCTCCTGCGGCAGACAGGACAGAGGGGCGCTGACTCGCGGCCGCTCTGCAGGCCCGGCTGGCACTCTGCGCTGAGCCCCAAAAGCAGCCCGAGGCGAGCGCGCCAGCGGGGCCTCTGGCTCTGGCTTTCACAGTCCTGCTGTTCAGTGCGTCCGAGTGACGGAGCGGTAAAGAGGACGCAGGCCCCAGTCTCTGGCCTGCGGGGTCCGGTCTTGGCCTTGGCAGGAACCCCTTTAAAATCACTTCTACTTATGGCCCCAGTGTCTTCAAAACCGAGCCTGCCTCGCAGAGTTCTCGCACGACCACATGATCTATAAGGGTGTCTGACACAGAGCGAGTATGCGCCAGAGGCGTGGTGACCGACCCATGAGAGCCGTCTGCGACTCTAAATGGGAGGGCTGACCTCGAGAGGGAGGGTCGTCGCCCTCCTGTGACCCCCGCAAAAACCGCAGCCCCATCCCCAAAGAGCACCGCACACATAGGCACAGCTGCGTGGAAGCCAGCAGGGTCACAGGAGCCCGAGGCCATCGGGAGCCCAGTCCCACGCCCCAGCCAGGCTGTCTCCTGCCCCACCTCCACTTCAGCAGCCAGATACCACCAAGCGACAGTACTTCTACTCGCACTGAACTGCACGGACATCACCAAACACATTCTCACACGGCTAGCCAGCGCTACATTCAATTTTAAACATTCGCCAGGAAATACTTCAAAAGCTATAGACCTTTCAAGTATTGACCCACTGAGATGAGAAGGGAGAGAAAGAGCTGTGTGAACAAACCCCTCTTCCGTGGGTGCAGAGGTTAGACTGTGAGCAGGTACCTTAGACACAGAAGACTTGAGTTTGCCGACATAATCCCAAACCGTCCTCGGGGCGATCCTCCCACCGATGTGAATTGTGTCGGGCAGGTCCTAAACAAAACGCACTTTTGAGTAAATGACCAATAAAACCGTGGCGTTCACAGAGAGACTGACGCGGTCATTTCCAGGCACCAAGCTCCCCATGACTCACAAGCACTCACTCAGGAAACTACAGCTACTCCAACGAGAACAGCAGCGGCCGCACTAACGCCACCGAGCTGGCGAGCACCAGGGCACAAGCGACCGGCCACAAGGCTGCTGCGACGCGCACCACCTGCTAGGCAGGACTGACGGCAGCCTTCTAGACCACGCACGCCAGGCAGGAGGACCTGCATGGTCACAGCTACGACCGGGCCCTCGACACCCAGGGTGCGCACGAGCCCCTGGGCAACAGAGGTAGGAGGAAGCCGAGCTTCAGCTTTTCTGGAAAGTCGAAAGGTCTGATTTCTCATCTGAATTTCTGCCACCGTCCTAACTGCTGGGCCTGCCGACTCGGTCCCACAGTCTCAACTCTGGCCTCTAGGGGCGCTCGTGCGTCCGCTCAGCGGGACGCTGGCACAAGGCCGACTCCAGCACCCAGATCAGAGTGTCTTGAGAGACAGGTGCGCGCACACACATGCACACACGCACACACACTCGGTTCTAACCTCACTGAGATAATCAAAACATCCAGAGACAGGATACGCCTTTGTGACAAATTTTGCTACACTCTGCATGTTAATAAATCCTTTCCAAATGGTGCTGAGTCGAGACAAGAAGAGGCTTGTATCTCCTTCTGGAGGGGACCGTGACTCTGAGGTGCTGTAAAACAAAGCCACAGCAAATGAGCGAGTCTTTCTCTCTGCACAAAGGGCTTCCAAGGTACAAAGACTACACAGTTATAAAGCAAAGTGAATTCCTGCACGGTTTGATAGTTTACTTTATCAAATTAACTACTTTGATCGTGATGACAGATAACTAGGTATCCTAAAACTGAAGCTTTAAAAAAAGCCTGTATAAAACAGGAACACTGTATCTCTGGGGAGATCTCAGAGCTGAATCGCTCGTCAGTGTGTCTTCTGTTCACCAGATATGGGACGCTGCCCAGCTCGCCAGGCCACGCCCAGAGGCCGCACCTGACGCTCGGGGACGGAGTGACTGACAAGAGGTATCTGGGCTCCGGGGACGCGGACGGCTTGGCCAGGATGGACTTGGGCACTGTCACGGAGGCCACTGCAGGCTTCAGGATGTCTTGCCGGGGTTCCACCGGGGGGGCGCTGTCTGGGCGGGCTGCTGCGGGAGCTGAGATGGCGCACGGCCCGCCCGGGGCGGTTCTGGGGTCTCTGCCGGACACTGTGACCGTGGTGAGCACACCGCCACCACAGGAGACAGGGCAGGGGGTGTCTCCCAGGGTGGAGGCCTCGAGGTGGCCGTCCCCTGGAGGCGCTGGGAGCCACTCTCCCTGCAGGCCCGGCTCCGAGGTGCTGTCAGGCAGGGCCTCTGGAGCTGCCTCGCCAGCCGAGCTGAGGGCCGGCTCAGACGGAGCGCTGGCGTGCTTGGGCTTGGGCTCCTCCTTCCCAGCAGAAGCGGACAGCCTTTGCTTCTTAGGGGCCGGCTCATCCTCAGCCACGGGAGCCTGGCCTGGAACAAGAGGAGAGCTTTGGTGAGGAGTCCGACCCCCTCAAGAGCAAAGCCTGCCCCCGGGCAGACGACCTCTCCAAAAAAGCAGCACTGCAAAGGTGGGGGCTGATTCCATCAACTTCAGAAAACTAAGTTCATTTTTAAAAATCGGCTCGGACACAGCTGTCATAAGACGACTCTCCAAAGTCTCACCCCAGGTCACACTCACCTGTGCAGATCTTACAGTTCAGGTCAAAGAGATGCGCCCGGTGCTGGCTGGTCGTGTCCTTCAACATGCTGCTGAAGACGTCCAGGGGGGGCGCCGGGCTCCTCTCGGGGGCTGCCCGCGCCGACTCCTGCTGCTCCTAGAGCACCAGAGACAAGGCGGGTCACCCCGCAGCCGCGCCGGCAGCACATCACGCAACACCGCGTGATGGAGGGGAGGGCTCTGAGCACACGTGCTCCAGAGTGCGACTGCGTGTGCTTGAGCTCAGGGTCTGCCCAGTAAAGACATGGAATGGATTCGTTTTAGCCGATTCCTGTGAGCACTGGAAGCCCCAAAGGCTCACCTCTGTGTCTGACACGGGTGGAGAATCCTCCAGGTCGGGGGCAGCCTCCTGTTTCGCAGCAGGCTTCTTACTTTCATTATGCAACTTAGTTCTGGACTCCATCACCTAAGAGGAAAAAGACAGACCCAAGCCCTAAGCCTTCTCTCGCAGGGGGACTTGCTCCCACCACAGCCCACTGAGTTGCTTGCTTCCGGGGCTGCACATCCCACGCCTCGAGCCGCCGCCGCCAGCACTCACAGATTTTGTCGGCCTCTCCTTCCACACAGAGAGCTCTTTAGATACAAGTTCCTCTGGCTTCATCCTCACAAGTTTTGCCAAGGAGATTTCTTCGCGCAGAACACGGTGGAAGAGCCCCTACAAACAAGCATCTTTCGTTCAAAACGCTTCTCTGCAAGTCAGACCCTAAGCTACCAGAGACGACACGGAGAGAGAAGCACGAGTCCTGGTCCGAAGGCCGGGGTGGGGGCCCGACCCCCTGTGAGTCAGCAGGGGCCCGGGGACCCAGGCCTGCAGGAACACGGTCAGCAGACACAGGCACAGGCCAGGGATGAAGGCAGGGGGGCCAACAGAGCCAACGGTAAGTCTGGGTGCAACCAGCTCCTAAAGCACAGGCGGAGAAGGCCAGGCCACACTGGGGGGGGGGGCAGGAGGCAGAGCAACCTCACTGGGCACGTGGCTAATCTTTTCGAGCCTTTATATTCAGTGATGCCAATGGAACACACTGCTCGGCCACAGTGCCAGGGGACGTGGTGTGGGGTGAGGCCCTGCAGTGAGCACTTCTCATCACTCACTGCTTAGCCAAGGAAGCCCAAACTGGCAGGCTCGCTCGGGTGACGGGGACCACAAGGAGGAAAAGGCTGTCAGAAGCCCAAGTGGGGCAATACCCACATACTAGGTAGAGACATTCCTGGGGCCCACGAAATGAACGGGAAAGTGATTTACACCCATGTTTGAAGAGACTGATCCAGTGTGATGACAATGGACGTCAGGGAGCCGGCAAGGCCCTGGGGCTCCTGGGGAGGGTGGGCAGGATAAATGACCAGCCTCCACACCAACGACATGCAGCCCCTGGCACCCGGCAGAGGACAAACAGCTCTCAGCTTTCGCAGAAAGGACACACATGCTTCTGCTTCCAACTGCTGCGTTTGGCTTATGACTGTGAGATGCAGCTCCGAGGAGCGAGGCTGCAGCCCGGCCGGGCCAGCAGCGCCCCAACAACCGCACACACCTGGTTCTTGGGGTCCTTGAGGTTGAACATGATGCTGCGGTACTTGCTCTTGTACCGGTTGTCTGTCACTCGGAACAAGTTAAACATCTCCTTCTCGATGTGCAGTGCAATTTTCCCAACCTCGTTTTCGGTCATGACTAGGTCATCACTGTCGCTGACTCTAGGAGGAACAAGAGGCCCTGCGTGAGCTGCTGCACACACGTGTGGTGTTTTTAAATAGGACAAAGGACAGCTGAGAAGCAGCCATAACTTAAATGGAAAACCTTCCACTTTAACAGGTAAGAACGGAGTAGAACAGCCCACCTTTTCCACAAAATCTCCTTCAAGGAGCGTCGTATGTTTTGCCGAATCTGTGAATTTGGCTGTGATGGGGCGGCGCTTGAGGTGCCTAGACGTCCAGGGGCCGGGGAGGCCAGGGGGACAGCAGCAGCCCCAGGCTTCCTGGCTGCCCCCACTGAAGCAGCAGAGCCGGGGAACTGTCTGGGGGCAGATGTGGCGGTGCTGGGCGCCAGCCCTGCAGGCTTGGTGGCAGGAGCACTGCCTGCAGGGGCGGCTGAGAGCCACCGCCTCTTGGGGCTGGCGCCCTTGAGGCCCAAGGGAAGCTTTCTGATGGCTGCTTTGCCCGCTGCTGTGCCAGCAAAAGGAGGGGACTTCTTTGGGACGAGATTTCTGGGCGAGGGCTGTTTGCCGCCCCCCAAGGAGCCCAGAGGACCCGTTCTCTTCGGCACTGCAGCCGCCGCCACCACCGTCTTCTCCTCCGTGCGCCTGTCCTCCTTCCCTGCTGCAAAGGAGACAAGAAGGCTTGGTGAGGGCGCGGGGACCCCACACAGCACGCGCCCCAGACCATCAAAGGCATCCCAGGCATCGCTGAGACAGGTTTGGAAGACTGTTAAAATAACCGCGAAATTCAGAAAAGGAGTGTGTGTAAAAAGGGCTACCAGCAACATTCATGATCGTGACCATACTTTGTTTCAGGAAGAAATGCTTTATTATTAAAACTTTTATTTCAACCAAATAACTCTTAGTTATCAAAGGCTTGACTGAAATCATTAGCTAAGCTTGAAAACTGAAGGGATGAATTTCACACCTGCAAGTTTTGGTAAACAGGAACTTAGAAAACCTTACCAAGATGGACCAGACGCATTCTCTTTAAATGCATATTCACCCGCCTTGGGGACCCTGGGGTGTGAAAGGAGGAGCAACAGTCCACTCTCGGGGGGGGGGGGACCAACCCCACAGGCCCTCATTCTTTCAGACAAAAGCCAACTGGATGTGATAATGTCAGTAAAACAGAGGAAGCCGGTGGGGACCTGCAGCACCAGCGGTCAGGTACCCTACACTTTGGGGGAAAGCAGGTGACAGGAGTACAAAATGCTGTCCCCAGAGTTCCCATTTACATCCCGTTAGTTGATCACTGGGTAAGATGGGGCAGCCCGTTTAATCCCGACAAGGACTGGAGTCCAGAACTAAAACAAAACAGCACCGCCGCCTCTTGCCCTGGGGCAGCCGGCGCTCTGCAGAGTGTGCGCCTCCCCGGGTCACTCTGCTTCACTCTAAAATGGCAGGCACAGTATCAAAACCCCGGCTTGCACAGGTTTTTAATGCCACGCCGATACCTCCCGCTGACAGACCGGGTAACACTTGGTCCTGTACCAGACCTTCAGAATGACGCTCTCAGAAGCAGGGAAGCTCTAAGGCCAGTGTTGCGACCCTTGGCCCCAGGGCTTGGCCCGAGCTGCTGGGGGCCGCAGGCAGCATGTGCACTGGTGGCCCCTGCTGACACACTGCACAGAAAGGCAGGGGTCCAGAGGGGTGAAACGGAGGAACGGGGGGTCCAGTCATGAGCGAGGGCAAGGAGGTTCAGTCCCACAGGACCAACAGAGAAACTGCCTCCCTAGAGCCGGCTTTTCTCACTAAGCCTCAAAATCCCCCGAAACCTAAACGGGAAACTTGACAGGTGCTCCAGCGGCCTTCGAACCTCCCGAGCTCAAAGCCGGTCAGTGCTAGGGCTTCCTGTAATCGTCCCAGCGGGCCAGGGACGGAGCCTGAAATCCGGGGGGAGCTGAGCCCCCGCCAACAGGTATGGCCTGACCCCAAAACAGCTCCCCCGTGTTCACAGCCTGGGGCCCCGCGCTGCCAACGGCTGGCGTGGCCATGCTGGCAGAGGGCCAGAGTGGCCGCCAAGGCACGGGTACTGGAAGGCCAGGGGCCTCAAGCTTTTCCCAGCTTTACAGTCTGCACCAGCACCACACACATCCAGAGCTCGGGACGGCACTACAAGCACTTCACCACCAGCTGAACCCGTGTCTCCTATTTCCATTCCACAAAGCCCCCAAGCTCAAGTCCCCTTGCCCACGGTGTCCCAACACTGGACCCCAGTGCTCGCAGGCATCCCCTGGGCCCGTGCTACCCGTCCCGCTGCTGAGTGGCCCTGCCGATCAATATCCCCAGTCACCAACAGTCACGGCTCTAAAGGCCTCCTTCCCTTGGGAGCTGAATGTCTGAATAAAGCACAGAATGAGAACATGACAAAGTCCGACAAAGCAAAAAATAGGGACGTAATAGGAACTGAGACTAAGAACTACATTTCTACATAAATCATTTCATCAGATCAAGTTTATAAACTTAAGGAGGTACCGTACTTCAGTATATGTAAATTTATTTTTACCAACTTGAATCTGGCTAACGAGGTCCGCAGCATCGAACCCACGGGACCGCCAGAGTTCAGGTTACGTCAGATGGACAGAGGCCCCTTTCCTTGGGGAAGGGACGAGCGCAGGGGCATGGCAGGACGTGGTGCGAGACATGATCTCCAGCAGGGGATGAGCAGC